AGCAGCCAGCCAATCTGCATAGAAAGGCAGTTTTTAAACTGTGGGGTTGCAGGGGGCTCCCTGGGAATGGAGTCGGGAGCACACTGGCTGCCAGTCCTGCCCTCAGGGACTATTGAATAGTCGTGTAACTGCTAAAATAACATGTGGTTACATGACTATTCAATTACACACTGTCTAACATGCCTACTTGAGATATGTGCTCACTTTGTAGGTGCCTTTGGGAGCGGAGGCTTCTGAACAAGGAAAGTGTCCCTGTTTAAATCATGAATGCTGGGCTTTAACTAGGGATGTTAAAATGCATTTATTCAAGTAAACCTGTAATCACTGAACATTTCAGAGGTTACATGTTACGCACGGGATGAGCAGGAAGAGGTGGCTCCCTTGGAGCTGGTGCTTTTAAGCTGGTGCTCCATGAGTACCAGCCTGCTGCCTCTGCTAGAGAGGCAGCAGCTTGGGGGTAGGGGGCTGGCCTGCGTGCACCTGTGCATGTTAACCAATGAGTCCAGACTCCTTGGTTAACCACGTACAAAGTTACATTTTCACATCCCTAGCTTTAACAAGTAATTGTTCCACATCCGAGGCAGCGATTGTCAAACTGTGGGTGAGGACCCCACAATGGGTTGTGACCCTGCTTAAATGGGTTGCTAGGGCTGCCATTAGACTTGCTGGAGCTTGAGGCTAAAGCCCAAGCCCCAAAACCCCACTACCTGATTCACAGGGCTCATGTTACAAGGCTCCCCTGTCTGGGGATGAAGCCCTTGATCTTTGACTTTTGCGCCCCCAACATAGAGTGATGGGACTTGGGCTTTGGCTTCCCAGCCTATAGAGGAGAGACTCTGGTGGACTCAGGATTAGATTCCCGCCTCCTGCGGTAGAGTCTTAGTGCAATGAAGTTTGAGACCCTCTGAGCTAGGATTTTGTCCTAGAAGCCTGTAAGCTTCATATGCCTCTTGTGGGTCCTATCTAGGCCATTATAAGTAAACTGTAAATTAGCCTGTATTTAGGAGCACTGAAAAGATTTCTCAGCTGTTAAAGTATTTGCTCCCTCACAGATGTATATGCAAATGAGTTTTCAGTAGGGATATAAAATACCATTTAATTGGTTAACCAGTTCAATGTAATATTTAACTGATTAACCAATTAAAGGGGGTATGGACGGGGGGGAAGGGGGACTGAGAGATTTCTCCAGCCTAGATGGGCTTGAATGCCCCCCTTTTTGTGGACAGGGGCTGCTCCAGCCAGGCTGGAATCTGTCTGCAGCATGCCTGGCAGGCCCATCACCGACAGCGGCTGCTCTGGGTAGGGTTGGAACAGCCTCCTGCCCCCATCGGTTAACTGGAACTGGTAAGCCTCATCCGTTAACCATCCCTCATCCTTAGTTTTCAGTGAGTTGGATCCACTTGCACAGGAAAAGGCTTCCCGTGATCCTAAGCCCTCTAAATAAGATAAATCCTTGCCTCAGAGAACTGGGAGA